GACTTAAACAGTGAAGTACTTGAACTCCAATAATTTCAGGTTTCTCATCAAACAGAATTTGCAGTAACTTGATTTGTCTTCCATACATACATTCCCTACGTCCCATTAACACAAATTCTCTTTTGGGCTAAAAGATTAAAAAATGTCCAAAACTCAAACATGAATTCATTTGGATTAGTTGAAGATTCAGGTTATCCAAATAATGCCGATTGGTTTTAATAAAAATATATCTACACCTTTTAATATTTATTGCAAAGATGTTAAGTGGTTTGGTTACCTTACATTGATTATTACAAGTATTCAGTAAAATTATTCATTCCAACAAAGATAGTCTGCTATATTTAAATTTATTATTACCAACAGAATTTACAAAGTGCTGCAAGGACTCGAGCTACTTGATGGTGCTTAAGTGTCGACCACAGAACACTGCCCTTTGGGATTGTCTCACCAAGTGGTACCATGATGAGGAATTTAAGGTTAGTCTACTCTCTTGAAATATTTTCTTGTGCATTTGTAAACTTGCAATTTGTTTTGATTGTTTTATTTAAAGCTGCTTAAATACAAAGAATATGATACCAGTGTTTAGATCTACAGTACGTCATTCTATAAATGTTTTTGCTAATGTTTGAATATTAATTTTTCATTATCATCAAAGCCAATAATTATAAAATAATTATAAAAATAATTGCAACTATTTAAAAAATAAAATTTATTATATAAGCTGCAGAACTAAATTTAAACCTCATATGAAATGTCAAAAAAATAATGCACAGGCCACTTGCTAGCTTGGCTAGCAAGTGGCTAGCTAGCAACAGTAGAACGTTCGTAATGTTTCATGGAACTGTGATACATGTGTCAGTAATGTGTCCACAATAAATGTTTGTTGCAACATTACTTGTTAAAAATTCACTAAAATTACAATATGTACAGTTTCACACACTATTTACACAGTAACACACTATATTACACAGTACTTTGGAAGTGAGTAATAATCAACGAAGTAGTCCGTGGTGCACAGCGCGACTTCGCTCTTGTTGCACCAGGTACAGATAAATTTTTGCTTCCTGTTTCTTCATTCTGTGTGCTTGCAAGTAACGCACTCATGTACACCCTTGTACATGTACACCCTTAGTACTTGTAGGTTGTATGTAGCCAAGCTTGTAAAGCATAAGGTAGTATTGAAAAGATTATAGGAAAAGATCAATTTGTAAGGTAGTCTTGAAGAGATCACTTTGTATGATCCCACACAGGAAGAGATTCAGCTTGCCTCAAAGAGTGTCCGTCAGTCAGGAAGAGATTCAGGTATTCTTGAAAATATCTATGGACAACACCACCATGGAAGCCACTAACACTGTTCATCTATGCTACTTGTATCAGATGCATTATCACTGAACGCAGAAAACGATTCATCTGTGTATCGTCTAAATAAATTGGAGATAGCGTAGGATTGCAAGGGTGATGCTCAGAGCTACAACTGGATACGTATCGTCCTCATAGGTGCTGTATCACTTGCATCTGACCTTTGTGTTAGGTCCTTATTGCGCCTAGCTTCACCAATATTACGACCCTTATGTTCTTCAAACAATGTTTGAATTTCATCGACAGAGCGTTATCTTTCAACACCGCATCGGACAGGTGTTTGGGAGCCAGAGACGCGTGCGCCACCCATGGTTGCTCATTCAGTACTAACCCAGCCAGCAGCCCTAGGGCATTCTGGGATTTTTTTCCAAGATGGCGCCTCTCACTGGAGGTCTTAAGAGTCCATTTCGTACACAACCATCCTCGCACATATTTAGAATGGGTACAGAAAAATCAGAGTTTTCTCGGCGCAGTTTCCCGCCGACCGAGAATACTCGGCTGGCGCAGTTAAGTGGTTAAGAGTTTATTTAGAAGAGGAAGTGGTGAAGGCCAACTTTGTACAGTATACTAATTTAAATGTATTTGTTGTATTACAAAGTCCATTGTGTAGCGTGTTTCCTCCCATCTCATCCTTTTTACTTCCCCAGGAGCACTGCAAAAAATTATATCTAGAAGAAAGAACTGAATACCGAAGAACAGGAATAACCAAGAAGGAGAGGAGTAAGCTGGAATCCACAGGGTTTTAGAACTGATGAAATGCTTTTATATAAATGTGTGTGTGTAATTATATATATATATATATATATATATATATGTCGTACCTAGTAGCCAGAATGCACTTCTCAGCCTACTATGCAAGGCCCGATTTGCCTAATAAGCCAAGTTTTCATGAATTAATTGTTTTTCGGCTACCTAACCTAACCTAACCTAACTTTTTCGGCTACCTAACCTAACCTAACCTATAAAGATTGGTTAGGTTAGGGTAGGTTAGGTAGGGTTGGTTAGGTTCGGTCATATATCTACGTTAATTTTAACTCCAATAAAAAAAATTGACCTCAAACATAATGAAATGGGTAGCTTTATCATTTCATAAGAAAAAAATTAGAGAAATAATATTAATTCAGGAAAACTTGGCTTATTAGGCAAAACGGGCCTTGCATATTAGGCTGAGAAGTGCGTTCTGGCTATTAGGTACGACATATATATATATATATATATATGCACTATATACATATATAAATTGAGGTTATTTATAAGGGAACATTCATTACTATAAACTTCATTTCAGACTTTTTTTTTTTTTTGCATTGAATGTAATTACTGAACTTTATTATACTGTAAATACAATTTATTAAATTTGTAATGTGTTCACTGGTTTTCTTATGCATATAGATGAAAATAATAAATAATTTATTGGTTTTATTATGCTTGGTTCCATGTCACAAAAATAAGTTTTCAATTTACTGTTGGATTTTGGCCTATGCCTTCTGCTAATTATTATCCAGTAATCTAGTGTTGTATGTAAGGATACAATACAATGCGCAATGTGTGAGTGGGTCTGAAAACTACAGTTTGTCTTGACCAGTTTTATTAATAAATAAATACAGTACACACAATTACTGGACGGCGTGGGACACTTAAAATGGAAAATTTATATTACATAACACCTATTTGAGGTCGGCCTTATTAGACCATGTTAAGGCTCGGTGTACACAATTCTTATCTGCTTGCTTTATACCAATGTATTTACATCTCTGGCATGCACATAGTTTTTGAATGGCCATCCTGCATGCATATTTCATGGAGTCATCTGCCAACTTTATCAGCAACTTGTGTATCTTCCTTTAATATTTTGAACGCGAGAGTTTAAAAGTTGGAAGACTGGAAACAGCTTATCAGATGAATATATTTCATTATATATGTAATGGCATTTGACAATACATAACCAGTGAATCCTATTTACAGTGATTTTAATCACAAAGAAGCATTAACAGGAACAAAAACAAAAACACTGCAGTGCAGAAATCTTAGTTGAGGCAAATAAGAAATTATTTTATGGATTTTTTTTTAAATTGTTAATTTTTATATCTAGAAATATTCTTTAAAGTATAGGAAATCACAATCTGTAGAGGAATGTAATTTTTCAAATGTGTATCACAGGCAGTGGGCTGGATTTATATGAGATAATCTCTGTTTTACCTGGACTTCTGTGATTCCTGTTGCAGTTCCTGTTTAATTTTAAATAAGAGGTATTGAAAACTGCTAGTTTTTTATTTAATATATTTGTTTTCTCTCATCAAATTAACCATGAAAAATGCTTGTCAACATGAATAAAGCATGATTACTTTTGCATATTCTTTTCAATGCTTACTACCTGGTTTAAACAATATTCACGATTGTTCTGATTACGTTGGGAATTCTATTATATTGTAAAAATATTGAAAATAAAGCCGTAATTTTGTATTTTTTAAACTTTGTAAATTAGTTTTTTTAATACTGTAATGGAAAAACATGTCATATTCCTTATGAGCAAATACCTACCTGATAAATACAAAAAAATTTCAAGAATGAGTTGATACAATTTGTTTTGCTTTCGGCAGTTGCAGTGTGAATAGCTGCTAAAGTATACAGGTTTCTCTGGTAGTCAGCAGTGACAAGCCCTGCCCATGAAACAGGCCAGTGTTATATAGCCATACTGACAATGCTTGCATTGGATAAATACACCCTTTCTTAGGTTGTATCCTTGCAGCTACTAGGTGTCTAGTAGACTGTATAACATTATCTTAGGTCATTTAATCTAGGAAAAGCTGTAAATAAAGGTAAGTTTAAATCGTTTATACTATGCACCAGATATGGAAAATTTGTTTGTATCATTAAGCTGCCATTTCCTTGATAAATTATGAAGTAGATCTAAGAGCACCTCACACATTAGAGAGCACCATGCATTAGTGAGATATTTAAACTTCCTGGTATTTAATTTTTTATCCTACTTTGAGCAGAAAGTGAAACCTTGAGAAAGGACAGGTATCTATTGTGACCATTTTATATGTACAGTAAACTTTACATAAAATCATGTTCAAAGTGTAAATTATTCAATGTGACCTTTTGTGCATCACTGCAAATTTGCCATCAAATAAGGATTCACATTTGGCACATTTTATAGCAAATGTATCCAATGGTTACAATTTTACCAATCTAAAGTTCCACATCCATTACATAAAATAGTATTTAAAAAAAATAATTAAAGATTAAACAAGTAATATAAAAGTGTTCAGAATTATTTGAATGAAAACTTAATGTTGCTCAGTGGAAAACTTGACAGTACTTAAACCAAAAGCTACAGGATTGGATCGTGAAGTGTACAAGTTATACATCAAAGTGGCTAGATTCTGTATCTGAATATTAGTAATAATGCTGAAATTATACATTATTATTAAAGCATTTGTTGAATAATCCTCATACAAACTGGTCTTGGTCTGAAATGTTTAAAAAGCTTTACAACTGTAATCACTACAGAAAATAATATATTCAGGCATATATGCCATGTATTACAATGAAAAATGTGAGTATGAAGTTCAGTAACAAATTTTGAATATGCAGAATACTGATATTTTATATGTAAATGGGAAACAAACACAAAGTTAATATTAAGCATAATTTATAGAAAAATTACTTTCTTAAAAAACCTATGATCTTTTTGTAAGCCACCAGTTATGTTATTTTGGTACATAATGAAATGCTATGTTTTCCTTCAGTGAAATAAAAACTATATACAAATTTGAGCACAGTACTTAAACTCGGTAAACATTAATTAAAGTGGAGAATTGTACATTATTGATTTTCTGGTGTCTGTAGAATGTATTAGTCTTATTTACAATTGTTGTGTAAATATTAAATCCTTTTAACATTAAAAAGGAGTTGCTTTCATGCTGGTAGTAATTATAATAATTAATTTGACTTTATTGCACTAATAATATATTTCTGGTTATGCTAAAATAAGAAGTGATAGAATATGTTTTTTTTAAATCTATCAACAAAACAATCAACATTAACATAGATAAATTTTTAACTATAAATATTAATGCCTACTCTTTCACTGGAACATCAGACCTAAGCAACCTCACGCATGCGAGTGGGAGACCAGCTCAAAATTAGTATATGCATATGGATGTGAAGGTTCAACTTCTCTTACTGACTGATTATCTTCATTAACTGAGGCTTCACTACCTACTAATGTAGCCCCATCTTCACCACTCCCAACACCAAGTGTTGCTGCAAGACGTCGAGCACTTCGCCTCACACCTGAGGCTATGCTGCGTCTGAGCCCTGATCTACGTAAGCTATTGTTTCTGTGTAATGATGGAGCTGTGGGTAAAGGTAGTTCAGTCTCATCATCAGTTTTAATACACATACTAGAAGACGCAGCATTAGCCAAAGCTGCCAGTGCTTCTTGTCTTCTTAACGGATCTAAAGTAGAGTACCGAGGAGGTGCTTCATTAGATGTAGAGCTGTGACTTCTTTCTCTGCTACATTCTGTGATAACAGTTACATAATCTGGTGGAGGGATGTATGGGGTGGCTTCCCTAGCTGTTGTGCTGGGCTGCCCACACTCAACTTCTTGTGGAGTCCCATCTACATCCCTGTGTGTACTATCTTCCGAGCCATTACGCAATGTGTAACGAAGGCGTCTCATACTCTGACGGAAACTTTGATTCAGGAGTTTTGCAAATCTGTAATGAAACCATAATTATGAAGCTACATTTTGTTACAATCTTATATGTACCAGTTTACCTTCACAATCTTTTACGTATTTTATTTATTATTATTATTATTACTACTATTACTAGAGCTAACCTGACTCCAGTAGCCGTGGAGTATGAGGGAGGCGGTGTGTACTTTGGAGGTGGGTCACTGTATGGTCGAGGAGCAGGTACTGTTCCTGTTTCATCTTGTCCATCTCTAAGACCTGCTAAGCCATCTAGGTCTGACTCTTCTGTGACAGAAAGGAAACTACCATTCCCACTGGTGCGTTGCCGTAGTGTTGGTCTATATAACAGTTGTATTCTCTGTGAAGTTGGAAAATTTATTAAAAGCTCTTCTGCTAGATAGCACTCTGCCCCTTTCTATACCCAAATTTCATTAACATATGTCAGGGCTTGGCACAGTGTACTACCACTGTTCTTTCTTAACTCCCATAATCAAATTACTTTCTTTCATTGTACTGTACTAGAGAATTAGAGAAAGAAAAAGACAAGAAAATGGGTCAAAATATAAATTAATTATATATATATATATATATATATATATATATATATATATATATATATATATATATATATATATATATATATATATATATATATATATATATATACACACACACACACACACACACACACACACACACACACACACACACACACACACACACACACACACACACACACACACACACACACACACACGTTGTCAGCGATAATTGGCGCAACATATCTATCGTATTGTTAGTACATCACACGTGCAGTGAGTCAGATTACAAGTGTGTGATTCATTCATTATTGTGCAGTGATATACGGGGGAATTATACCAGTGTTAGTGTCGCCCTGACCCCCGCCCCCACCCAGCGCCCAGGCCGGGAAGTACCTGCTCTCCCTCTCCTAACCACCCCACCACGTCGCCTCCCCACCCACGAGGCCACCTTGCCACCCGCCCATAGAAGCCGGGAGGCTCCCATGTGTGTCTACGCCACCCACCCACCCAATGTATACCCACATATTGTGTAGTGGGTGTATACCCACACTTTGTATAGAGGTGGTATATGTATTACCACTCATCTGAGTAGTAAGTGCCACGGCCAGCTGATCATCCCCCCAGCCTCCAACCGTCGCCCACCCTCCAGTCTCCACCCGCCGTCCACCCTCCCGCCCAGCGCCCGCCCAGCGCCCGCCCAGCGCCCGCCCATGTCACAGCTCTCAACAGATAGCCAGGCTTCTCCAAGCCAAGATGAGCCATCAAGCAGGGATAGACACGGTAGATGTCAGACGTGTGACAGGGTATGCTATATCCGGTTGAGGGACGATAATGTGCACATTCATTCCAACAACGGAGTCAGGTGTTTGGGTTCTGAGCGCCCTCCCAGGGAGAACACCAATCAACAGCCCACACCGCCCGTAAGGCAAAACACCTCCCAGACCTTCATTCCCACAGAAAATTTATTAGAAGCTATCAAAGCAACATCGGCCAGAACCTTGCAACAAATCCCTAGAGCAGCCCGCCCCCATGCAGCAGCCAAATTATCTGCCCTCCTGAGAAAGGTCAACGACTCTCCTGGAACGACCCAAGCATGGCACAACCTCCTAATGTTTGGCAACATATGTCTAGCCACCCCTGCAAGGAGAGACAAAACCTTAGCTGCCTCAGTCATCAAAGCTATAAATGATTTTCCCAGGGAGGACAACCAGGTGCGCCTTCCCACTCGCGCAAGAAACACCCACGGCAGGAAGAGCAACAGTGGCATATCTGAGACATCAAAAATCAGAACATCAGTCACCAAGAAAATAGAAGAAGGAAACACTATTGGCGCATTACGAGTCATCACCAGTGAGGACTCAATTGCCGACAGAGATGCCGCAACAGCTCAAGCCCTAAGGGAGAAACACCCACCCAGGGCTCCGCGTGAGGACGACATTGTACAAGTGGGGGCTACCGGAGCAGAACCTCTCTGGGTGGCTGAATCTGTGGTCCATAAAGCAGCCATGTCCTTCCCTACAGGATCAGCAGGTGGGTTCACAGGATTAAAACCCAACCACCTCAAGCAAATGCTCAACCCTGCACTGGGTGACATTGCAAAGAACCTCTTGGTGGAACTAACCAGATTCACCAACACATGTCTAGCTGGCAACATACCAGCGTCCATAAGACCTATCTTTTTTTGGGCATCTCTCTGTGCTCTAAAGAAAAAGGATGGAGGGATCAGGCCAATAGCTGTCGGCAATTCTCTCCGGCGTCTCGTCGCAAAGGCAGCTGCAAGAACAGTTAGTGATGCAGCGGCCAACATGCTGAAGCCAAAACAGCTCGGGTTTGGCATTCCACAAGGGTGTGAGGCGGCAGCCCATGCAGCTCGAGCCTTCATCGCCAACATCACAGACGAAAAGGCCCTTATCAAGCTAGATTTCAAAAATGCCTTCAATTTGGTGCGGAGGGATGCTGTACTCCGTGCGGTTCATAGTCATTTCCCTTCCCTCTACCCTTTTGTACATTCATGCTACAGTGTGGATCTTAAGCTACTTTTTGGCGAACATGAAATTGACTCGCGAGAAGGCGTCCAACAGGGTGACCCCCTTGCTCCTCTCCTTTTCTGCTTAGTCATCAAACAAGTCACAGAGGTCCTGTCCAGCGAGCTTAACATCTGGTTCTTGGATGATGGTACTCTAGCTGGTTCCCAAGACTCAATCCTGGAGGACATCAGAAAAATCCAGGAGCAGGGTGCAGTTTTAGGCCTCACCCTGAACCCTTCTAAATGTGAAATAATATGTTCCAACCAGGGCATCGTAGAGAGAATAGAGGGTCTTCTGCCAAATATCCATAAAACTAAACCTGAAGACAGCACACTCCTAGGAACTCCCCTGGGGTTGAAAGCCATCGATGAGGTCCTTGATAAGAAAATCACCGACCTTAAGAGGATGGATGGGAGGAGTGAGGATATTGATGCTCATGATGCACTCTACCTCATCACCAGATGTCTGTCCCTCCCCAGGTTAACCTACTTTCTGAGGTGTTCACCATCTTACAGTAGCCAAAAACTAAGTGAGTATGACCGGTTACTGAAATCAATGCTAGAAAAAGCCCTTAACCTCTCTCTTGATGACCTACAGTGGAAACAAGCCTCTCTTCCCGTAAGACTTGGGGGCCTCGGAGTTCGAACAGTAACGCAAATCGCTGTTCCAGCCTTCCTGTCCTCCTTATCAGCATCCGACGACCTTGTGAAGGAAATTCTACCTGCCCACCTACATCAGTTGGCAGGTGTACATGATCCCAATTTTACACGCTGTGCCACAGAGTGGGCCTCTCGTGCAGGCCAATCACCTCAACCACCATCCCCAAAAGCCCACAAACAATCCAGCTGGGATGGCCCCATTGTAGACCAAGTTGCTGCAGAGTGCCTGGGTGCTGCAACAACACAACACGACATTGCTCGCCTCACAGCAGTAGCAGCACCACATGCAGGGGATTTCCTGTTAGCAACCCCAATGTCGGCAACTGGCACGCGTCTCACACCACACACCCTCCGAATTGCTGTGGCCCTCCGCATTGCTGCCCCAATCCACACCAGATATAGGTGTATTTGTGGCGAGGTGGTAGCTGACAGGTACAGCCACCATGGCCTACTCTGCCAAAGCACAGGGGGATGGCACTCGAGGCACAGTGAAGTTAACGACATCATCAAGAGGAGCCTCACCACAGCTGGATGCCCAGCTGAAAGAGAGCCCCGTTACCTAACGCCCCGTAACTCTGATGCTCTTATTGGTCGCCCGGATGGTATCACAGTGAACCCCTGGAAGAATGGCAAGCAGTTGGTATGGGACTACACGTGCGTATCAACCCTGGCTAACACCTACATTAACCTCAGTGTTGCACAACCAGGTGGCGCTGCCACCCACAGGGAAGCAGCCAAATCCCGTAAGTATAGAGAACTGGATCACCACTACAATTTTGTCCCCCATTGCTTCTGAGACACTCGGCGCCTGGGGTAAAAGTGCTACCAGTTTTTTGAAGGAACTGGGTTCTAGGCTCATTGAAACAACGAGGGACCCAAGAGCTGCAAGCTTTCTTTTCCAGCGCCTCAGTGTGGCGATACAGAGGGGAAATGCGCACTGCATCCAGGGTTCCTGCCCGCCATCTGAGGAGCTGGAGGAACTCGACAACCTATGATAACCGTCTTTGTAACCCATATGTAGCTCCTTTTTTGTAACAGAGTTCAAATAAAGTAAATATATGTGTGTACATACAAAAGAATGGGGGTGGTGGGAGAAGATAATATTAGTGTTCAGTGAGAAACCACAGGTTCTCCTCTGAATACTTTTTATTTTCTTCTCTGAGGCTATGGGTCCCCACATTGGCACCAGAGGTGGTACCCTCACAAACTTTTATATACTGTGTATGTATGTATGTATGTATGTATATATATATATATATATATATATATATATATATATATATATATATATATATATATATATATATATATATATATATATATATATATATATATATATATATATATATATATATATATATATATATATATATATATATATATATATATATATATATATATATATATATATATATATATATATATATATATATATATATATATATAACTGAAAACTCACACCCCAGAAGTGACTCGAACCCATACTGCCAGGAGCAACGCAACTGGAATGTGCAGGGACGCCTTAATCCGCTTGACCATCACGACCGGACATAAGGAAGTGATAGCCAAAGCTATTTGAACCACTTCCCCGCCGGCACTCGGATGGTAATCTTGGGCATAGCATTTTATCAAATCACCTCATTCTTTGGGACTATATACAACTGCACACAGAAGTGAGAACCCATACTGCCAGGAGCAACGCAACTGGAATGTGCAGGGACGCCTTAATCCGCTTGACCATCACGACCGGACATAAGGAAGTGATAGCCAAAGCTATTTGAACCACTTCCCCGCCGGCACTCGGATGGTAATCTTGGGCATAGCATTTTATCAAATCACCTCATTCTTTGGGGCACACGTGAGGAACACAAATGCAAACAAGCCTGAATGGTCCCCAGGACTATATACAACTGAAAACTCACACCCCAGAAGTGACTCGAACCCATACTGCCAGGAGCAACGCAACTGGAATGTGCAGGGACGCCTTAATCCGCTTGACCATCACGACCGGACATAAGGAAGTGATAGCCAAAGCTATTTGAACCACTTCCCCGCCGGCACTCGGATGGTAATCTTGGGCATAGCATTTTATCAAATCACCTCATTCTTTGGGGCACACGTGAGGAACAC